CAAAATGGCGTCCATGACGTCAGTTCGCCAGACTCTCTAATATACTGGGTACAATCATTTGGGACCCAAGATGGCGTCTTTGTACACTTGACGTCATATTTTCATGACGTCATATGAAATTTCTGGCTTCACAGTTGTCGCAACTTTATACGGCTATTATTCTGACTTCAATATAGAGACAGTACAGGCAACTATGACGCCATAAAAACTATGACGTATTTGCGTCATATAGCTTTACTTAACAGAATGTTTTATTTTTTTCTTGGTATAACGTTTTACGGGCTACAATGTATCCTGAACAAATTGCAAAAGAAACCACTGCAGTTTGGTTCAATGATAAATATGTCAGACAAAACCATACTCAAAATCGGCCACGGAAGAATGACACGATTAACATAATTCAATTTGGCGTTTCCAAGGAATTATTGGAGAGCGATATCTCGTAATCAGTGTCTTTCAGTGGTGGGGGATAAATAATTTCTTTTTAAATTCCTTAAACACACAGTGGTTATGCAAGCGAAATGTGTCGAAAAATCGAATTTGACAAACATTGATTAAAAAAATCTATTTTTCATTTGGTGGCGGGCATTTCTTTCAAAATGACTGCCAAATATGGTAATATTATACTTTTCAAAAAGGTAGGGGATATTCAGAAACAATACAAAACTGCGGAAATGCATTGATGTTTTATTGGAGGTAACCAGTGTATGTTAATAACAGGCCAATTGCCTACACATAAAATTCCACCATTTTAGATTTCATTTTGTCGGCCATTTTGAATTTCTACCATCAAGAATTCTCGAAATTAAATATGGCTGCCCTTTTATTACCAAATTAATATTGGTTTGTTTGTTTTGTTTGAAAGTGTTATTATACCTAAGATGCAAAATACACATGTCGTTATACTTATAATGATGAATACATAATACTGTTAAAGTAAAAGTCAAATGTCAAATTACAAATGTTTTTTGGAAAAAATCCTCTAATGTTACAAACAACATTAGTGAATTTTTTCCAAAAAATATTTGTAATTTGACATTTGACTTTTACTTTAACGGTATTATGTATTCATCATTATAAGTATAACGACATATGTATTTTGCATCTTAGGTATAATAACACTTTCAACATACATTTAGTTTTGGCCCTTAAATCCCGCCATAGTCCAAAAATGATTCAATTTCACCAATCTATGCGACACCCTATATAACAAGGTAGAAGCATGTGATTTTGGACCTTTTATTTTATTGACTAGCAGGCAAAAGGATTTTTCCCCTAAAAAATTATATTTCTTCGGTCCACCTGCAGCATGAGTTACATGAAAATCATGGCGAACACATTACCATCTCAGAAGTCAGGTTGCGTTTTTGAGAACATTTCCTGGGTTCAATTCTGTGTTTGGGAAGGAGCCTTATTGCTCAGCTAAAGTTGGAGGTGTGGTCACAAATATACAATAAAAACATTTGGCAAGTTTTATGCAATGCGTCTATTCAGAAAAACATACCAACCTGACGTTTCTTTTGCTGCTTAGTATATTTTTATGCAGGAAAACAATACACAGCATCCTGGCAGTATCTATGCGCGATTAGATATATTACATCTCTCATGGCTGAATTCACCCCAATATGTACTCAAAATAATTATTTGACATTTAATTGAGCCAGCAAAATCAAAATACCAACGCTACATAATCTCCCGGCTTGGATTCAGTCGGATTAAAAACTGGCCCATCAATTGGTTTATTCCAACGAAGGCGCAGTTATTGACCGTAACGGGTTAAACGAGGTCGTTTTCGACGCCTTCGTGGGAATCCAGCTCCTAGGGATTAAAATGGATTAAAAGCAATGGTGTTATAGATTGTTATGATAAGAATTTACACTTTCATAATCCCCAATGTAACTAATTACCAACAGTTTAGCATCATTTTTGGCATAAGAAATAAAAACATAACTACACTATAACAAAAATTAATTTAATTTCGCCAAATAAGACACCCTGTCTAAATACTCGACTAAAGTCAATTCCTCTTCCTCGTGTCTTCCTTTTAATTCCTGAAGCTGGTTTTGAATTTGAGCATATCTCTTCCTTGGTGGTTCCTGTCCCCCAGCATACTGAACGATTCTAATCTCATTAATATTTTGTTCTTGTTGTAAAAATGTTATTATTTCAAAAACATTCGGATGGTCTTTTTCCAACTAGCTTCATGATTCTTGCATGCCATCCTTCCAGAGTGTTGCTGGTTCTGTGCTCCTCTGTGTTGTAGTGGTTCCACTGATATCGTCCTCCGCGATTTGTAGGTACAAAGCTGAATTCAAGTTGTGCGTTTGCCATTGTAGAATATTATCTGTTGTTGTTTATTACAAATTTAACGTCCAATACATAATGCATGATATTATGGACAGGTTGATTTAATTAAGTTATTTACATCTGAATAAGTAAAATATAGAAGTTAGGTAAAAACAATAAATAATAAAAAGTTCTTGTATATCTAAAAGTCACTTTAAAACAGATTTAAAATAATAACAAGTTCTTGTATGTCTAAAAATCACTTTAAAACACGGTTTTAAAAATGGTTTTAAAATCGTTGTCGTGGGAAGAGAGTGCGGGTCATCTTCTCACTTTGTCATAATGAAAACAAGTTAAAATAGGAGATCCAGCTGTTTGATGCCAAATTGGTGATTAAGATTCATATTGAATACTTGGATAATTTGATGACTTTAATCATTAGTTGCCAATTGGTGAATAAAATTCAGAGTGAAGATAAATTCATAAAATCTTTAACACCGTTAATTGGGCCCTAATAACAACATGCCTCTCTTCAAACGAAAGCCGACAAGTCCATATCTGCGCCTTCGTGGGAAGGATTAATTTTGGTCACGCTCTGTAACTGCGCCTTCGTGGGAATACACCCATCAATTTGGTTCACGGCAAATACGGATAGCGGCTGTCATGTTATATAGGGTGTCGGACAGATATTGGTATTAAAGATTCCACTTTCATAATATTATAGTTTGCAGAGGATTAATTTAGCGCGGGAATCACACTAAGTCTATAATTGAAATAAATGCAATATTCTACAATCTGTTATATTCTATAACTTTATGGAAATTCAATGATTTATTATAACTTAATAATTTATTATTTATATCTGTGTGTTGCCTTTCACGTAAAAATCTCCTCTGGGATATTAAAGTATTATCTGATCCGTTTTTTGTTTTTTAAAAGAGATTTTATTTACTCCACACAACCAATAATTAATGATAAAATGACATCATGTCCTCTCCAGTTCATTAGCTTCTTGGGTTATCCACAGTAATCTATATCATAGAAATACATGATACAGTTGTGGGTAGGCGTACACAGGAGGAATAATACTAAATTGATATACAATAAGACTGTTAATAATTATCGATAATCAAACAGGTTGGCGGAGATTGTAATGTTATAAGAGACATAAGATTATTGGATTAATTAAAAGCAATAAAAATATCACACAGTATATCCAACAATGATCCGAAAAGAAACAAAAAATATATCCAAAAGATTAAAAATATATCAAAATATAGGCCCCTATATGAAATATATGAAAAAATGTATATATAGAAAATATAAACAAATATAAATAAATATTTAGAAAATATATATATATATATAAATAAAATAATGGAAATTATTTTGGGCTATGGCAGAAGTATTGTTTGCTGCTCTTTAATTCGTGCATTTATTGGGCGTTTTGTTCACCTATATACAACTGGTCACACGAGCCCGAAACTTGGTAAACACACCCTTTTGGTTGTTGTCGGATGGTTGGGTAGATTTTTCCGTTAGCTCGGAGTAAGTGTTTTAGGGTACTGCCACTGGAAACGTTTGTGTCAATGCCTGCTTGTTTCAGGATTCTTCTGATGTGGTAGGACGATCTACCATTGAATATGTTGACGCGTATGGGTGATGGGTGGGCTTAGTGGTAGAGTGTTGGCGCGCTATTGTGAAGTTAATGGTGTTATTGGTTAGCTGTTTGGAGTACTGGTTAAAGGAAAGAGAAGACTTTCGTTGTTGTTAGTTAGTTGTATTTTACGTCCGCTTCCACCGAAGTGATATCGCAGACAAGAGAAGACTTTCCTGAGGTATTCAATTTTATACTGTAGGTGATCATGGTCACACCTATTGAGTGAATGTTTGATGGGTGTCGTAATGATGGCTTTCTGGGTTTTGGAATGACGACAAGCGATAGGTTTCATGCTATTATATTCCCGATTCATCGCATTAGAATGTCCACAAACTAAGTTACCCATAAGCCAGGGGCCATAACCAAAGAAGTTACGGTTTGGTGCGCACCAAAATTAAACTCATCCGAGATCTTTGATCCTTGACATTTAGGTTTAATTTCACCTAAATCCACTCGAGATCGTTCGGAGATAAACATAATATTATGGCGACTGAAGGGTTCAAAAACTGTGTACATATACAATTTGTGTGAAAGTGAGGGTACCATAACCCAAGAAATTGTGGTCTGATCCTCACCAAAATCAAACCAATCCAAGATCGTTTGATCCTGAACACATATTTTAAGTTTCACTATTTTAACGGGAAGTTAGGATGTATTTACCACGAAAAGCGAACTTATCTGCGATAGTTGTGTAATAAACATATACTTGAACGAATGTCAAAATCGATGTAGGCGAATTTCTAACAATCAGGAAGTCACGGTACGGTATGGGTCATAATTGATATAAACATACATTTTAAGTTTCACAAAAATTGAATTTAGATTGCGACCTCTGGAGGGTTTACAAGTTATGTACTCGATCTTTCTACCATCAGGGGCAATATTCCGAGATCTTTGGGATAAAAACTTACATTTTAAGTTTCATCAAAATCAGATAATAATGGTGACCATAAGCACATGTGAACGGGTCGGAACGACGGCATACGTACAGATGAAACTGTGGGCGTATAAAACTGTACCGAATAAGGATTTTAGCAAACGAACTCAGACAGACCTAGTTCTTCTGGTGTTGATAAACCATAACCATCACCATGGTACCCATTTATGATGTTGACAATATTCTCAGCTTCAACGTCATGTAAACCAAGTTGTGTTAGAACTTCATTTACACTAGGAATAATGTTATCTCTGCTCCGGCTGACACATATACCATGACACCTGCCCGTAAATGCAAAACGATCTACATCTTCATAAAACTCAAACGTGAATGTCAATATATAGTTCATATCATTGACTAAGCCACAAAAATGAATATATACGACAGTAACATATCTACGACGTCATTTCATATACATGGTGTTTATTAATTCATTAAAATTGCTAGTAATCAGGCAGAAGTCATTCAATAGGTGTTATGTCACTAAAGTGTTAAAACTGTGACTATTCAATGATACACACCACTATTGTCCAGGTTTGTGTATTCAATAGTGATGACTGTTATAATTAGTCACGCTTTTACACGAGTAGTCAATTAATGACAACTGTATAATGTCTAACCACTTTATATACATACTAAACATTAGTTTAGAATAATGATCACTTATGTATATTATTTAATGACAAACTTATCATTACTAAAAGGCTCAGGTTTATCAGTCAGGCAGTGTGAAGTTAGCTCGATTTTCGTTTTTCGATATTGGCGTATAACGAAAAACCACTAGCTCGTTTTTCGATATTGGCGAATGTCGAAAAACGAGCTACCACTAATTTATATCTTTAGTTCGTTTTAGAAAACGTATTTAATCAAATGTGTTTTGGAGACATTCTGTAGATATACATCCATTAAATCTGCTTTTTTGAGAATCAAGTAGCTCGTTTTTCGAGATTCGCCAATGTCAAAAAACAAGGAGTAAGAGCTTTTTTATGTGAATCCACTGCTCAGTTTTTCGAGATTCGTCAACATCAAAAAAACAAGGAGAACGTGCTTTTTTTATGTGAATCCACTGCTCAGGCATCCTCATTTATGATATCATTTGTTCGTTTTAGAATACTTATTTAATCAAATGTGTTTTGGAGACATTCTGTAGATATACATGATTAAAATCTGTATTTTTGAGATTCAAGTTTGAATATCGAAAAACGAGTAGCTCGTTCTCGTTTTTCGAGATTCGCCAATATCAAAAAACAAGGAGAAAGAGCAGTTTTTATGTGAATCCGTTGCTAAGGCATCCTCTTTTACGATATATTTAGTTCCTTTTACAAAACTGATTTAATCAAGTGTGTTTTGGAGACATTCTGTAGATGTACATCCATTAAATCTACTTTTTTTGAGATTCAAGTTTGAATCCTCATTTATGATAACTTTAGTTCGTTTTAGAACACTGATTTAATCAAATGTGTTTTGGAGACATTCTGTAGATATACATGATTAAAATCTGTATTTTTGAGGTTCAAGTCTGAATATCGAAACGAGAGCATCGCTAAAGCTCAATATACGTCCACATTCCTGCTTTGATTGATATGGTACTTTTTAAAATGAAGGGAATGAAATATGAAATGGCTGTAATATGACAAGAGGCAAAGAAGGGTAGGCGTTGGGTTTGTTATGCCAAATTTTCAGACAAAATATTAACAAAAATGTGGGTGTGACACTGCCCCAGGGGGTCGGGGCAAGCACAGGGGGTCGTGCATCAACATCAATAGTTGCTGTCTTTAAAGTATATATAAGTATACCAAGATAATCCATTCAGAATTGTGGCTTTTGGGCACTTAAGGCAAAAAGTGGGCGTGGCTCTGCCCCTGGGGATCGAGGCATTCACCAAAATCAATAGTTGACGCCCTTAGGCTATAAGGAATAAATATGTCAAGTACCAAGCTGACTCATTCAGAATTGCTGCCTGTAAACGACAAACACGAAAATTGGGTGTGGCTCTGCACCTGGGGGTCGGGACATGCAGTTTACGTCCTTAGGCTCTAAGGAATACATATCCCAAGTTCAAAGACGATCCATTAAGAATCGTGTAAGCAACATACACAGACACAAAGAAAAAATGGGTATGGCTCTGTCCCTGGGGGTTGGGCAATCACCAAAAAACAATAGGTGTCATCCTTTGGGTATAAGGAATAGGTATGCAAAGTTTCAAAAGGATCTGTTAACAACTGCGGCCTGTAGGCAAACACAAACATTGGGCGTGGCGCTGTTCCAGGGGGTCGGGCATGCACCAAAAATGATAGAGGTCAGCCTTAGGGTATAAGGAATAGGTATAAAAAAGTTTTCAAGACGATCGCTTAAGAATTGTGGGCTGTAGGCGACACACAGACACACAAAGAGAAAATGTGTGTGGCACTGTCCCTGGGGATGGGCATGCACCATAAACGATAGGGATGTTCCTTAGGGTACAAAGAATAAGTATGCAAAGTTTCAAGATGATACGTTAAGAAATGCGGCCTGTAGACGACAAACAAACAAATACAAGAAATGGGTGTGGCTCTACCCCTGTGGGTTGGGCATGCACCAAAAACAATAGGGACCATTCTTAGGGTATAAGGAATAATAATGTAAAGTTTCAAGATGATCACTTAATATAATTATGGCCTGTAAGCGACACACAGACACACAAAAAGAAAATGGACGTGGCTCTACCCGTGAGGGTTGGGCATGCACCCCAAACGAAAAGGATGTTCCTTAGAGTACAAAGAATAAGTATGCAAAGTTTCAAGATGATACGTTAAGAAATGCGGCCTGTAGACGACAAACAATCAAATACAAGAAATGGGCGTGGCTCGGCCCCTGCGGATCGGGCATGTACCGTAAGGTATATGGAATAAGTATACAAGGAGAAAGAGCAGTTTTTATGTGAATCCATTGCTCAGGCATCCTCATTTATGATATCTTTAGTTCGTTTTACAAAACTGATTTAATCAAGTGTGTTTTGGAGACATTCTGTAGATATACATCCATCAAATCTACTTTTTTTAGATTCAAGTTTGAATATCGAAGCTCGTTTTTCGACATTCGCCAGTATCGAAAAACGAGCTAGTTGTTTTTCGTTATTCGCCAATATCGAAAAACGAAAATTGAGCGAACTTCACACTGCCTATAAATGAAATGAAATGAAATAGGGTTTAACGCCCTACTGTTTTGCTCCGAACTCACACTGCCTATAAATCAGCGGTATCAACTTACCAGTGTGTGTGAAATAACTTTATTTAGCGTCCGCTGCCGCCATAGTGATATCGCCGACAAAAAAACTAAAGTACAACCCCTGGTCAAAATTAGTTAATGTAGTGTGACTGCGTTATCTATATCCTGAGAAAAGCGAGCTCAAGACCTGTTTACACCAAGGTTATTAAATAATGACCTCTAGAGGATCCACATGCTAAAACGCGATTTTTCGTACAATCAGGAGCCATAATCCAGGAAGTAACGGTCTGATAATCGCAAATTTCGAAAAGACCCCAGATCTTTGGGATATAAACATATATTTTAAGTTTCACGAAAATCGGATAACAATAATTGTTGTTGTCGGTATTACATACTTCACACTATGTGCGTACAATGAGTGGCCGTTTTGTCGGACAGTTTCGTTTCGATTTTCTTGAAATCGAACTCAACTGTCATTATGGTGTAACGGTTTTTTAAATCAGATAAAATTGTAACGACATTGGTTTGGCGCCCCGTCAATCTCGCCGTGGACACCCAATCCATGTCACTCGGCTTTATGGGGCGCCCATACTGATATGGGCACGTTGGTCGTTGGCTTCGTATTGCGTCCAATAGAAAGAGCGCCGAACGCCATTTGGGGTGCCGATTTTTTTCAGGGGGGAGGGGGGCTGGCAGGGTAAATTTAATATTACATGTTCCCTCAAGGATAATAAAAACATTACAGTATGTTTCGTGTCCTAAAAACGAGGTAAAGAAACGTAAGTCGCTGAATTGCTCTCAGAGTTAAAATCATATTTTCACATTACCTTAGATGAGAACCAGTAAGATAGTTGCCTATAGCTATTCCAGCCAGTGTGTTACCCAATCCACAAGTTGCTACAACCACATCATCAAATCTTTCACACACACCCTGTAATAATAGAATTCGTAAGAGTACACGGCGTTGTAAACTTCATAATACTAGAATATTCGCCATTTGGCAATTATTGGGGCAGTAATTTTGGTCTACTGCATAGAAAAAAAAGTTTGTCAGATTGCTAATGTGCATTTCGCAGGAAATATACATTTAAGGAGCTAAATCGCTAATATTTGGGACGTAAAAACTGACACAAATGGGTCGCAACGCATATAATAATGTAATATGAATGTATATAAACGTTTCTGTTTTTACTGTAATTTCTAATTAGTTATGTTCGGCGAAATACTGGTTATTCCAGTTTACAGCGATAGTATTTATTGTGCATGCTCTCCAGATAAGAATATGAGGTCACCGTTTGACATAACTTGTGAAATATATCAAGCCTCGTTCTTCGAGTCCGTTGTTACAAATAGCGCTGAAACGCATTATGGTACACGATTCGAGTACCAATGATAAAATGTTTATTTTGTCTTAAATATTGGATATCAGAAACCCATCTGTTCCCGGTAAGATCAAAACATCAATGTTGATTTAAATTAACAAATAATTCGTGTTTTCAATTTCGAAGACTTTGGATGATACTGAGTTAGAGACTTGGCTACTTTAAGTAGAGGCCTACGCGCTGTATCATAAGGTCTGGCATTGAGTCAATTGGCTTGATTTTGATTCCCCAGTTGTACGTGGCAAGGAGTAAGGTCGCCTGTCCAACTTCTGGGTTTTCTCCCGAAATGACCTAGTTTGTGGCGAGTGGACGTTAACCCCATTTTCTCTCTCACAAATTTAAGAACTCGGCCATATAAGATGAAACGAAATTTAGGTAAGCCTGGGAGAAAAAAAATGAAATCTTTGAAAAGTTGAGAATCTTCAGTGATTTATTGCTTTGCCTATAGCTAAATTACAATAATTTACAATCAAATTCTTTCAAAAATCCCAATTTTTTCGCACCAGGCTTACCTAAATTTCGTTTCATCTTATATGGCCGAGTTCTTAAATTTGTGCGTTACCCTTTCAATGATGTCCGCCAAGTCGGTTAGAAGACGGAGACGTATTTTTTAACAGCGTGTTGTGTCGCTCATACTGACTCTAGCCAGGTAAGCAATGTCTTATTTTCTCCCTAAGATGTTCATTTATATTGTTCAGGCGTTCACAGGGACTGACACGCGACCGGTTAGCAGTAAAAAGTTGCCCAGTAAAATTGACTGGGAAGCGATTAGATTTTCGACAAGGATTCAATAGGACAGTCCCTGAACGTAGAGGTCGAGTGGAATGAGACCTACGTTCAGAGCTGAACTATGCCGTATACAGCTTCGAGCCCAGCAATTCTCAAGGGGAATTATATGGCAAAATGCACTATACATGTATTATGCCCATAATTTAGGACTGTTTATGTTGAGAAAAAAACCAACACTGTCAGCAACTACAAAGACATCGAATTAGACGAAATAGTTGTCACTTGCAAGCTGTAAAACAAACAACGTGATCTAAATAATTAGCCATGTGGCCTGAATTGGGTCACAGCGTACTGTATGAGTGAATTTACGAGACGTCTTGCTCCAGCTACAGTAGGGGACCGTCCTAAGGCCTTCCTTTCAGCAAGTTTTGTAGTCATTTGACTACAAACAACCTTAATTTCAAATTACACTGACCCCAAAACTATTGAAACAAGCCAACAGTGAGGCTAATATCCCCTGCAGAAATCCCAAAATAAATAGATGACACATATTAATCGCATTTATTTTTTTTCAAAAGTATCAAGCAATCAAACCGATTATCAACTATACACTAAGTTTCATCACTCTCTATCAAATAGAATCAAAGTTATCTGGTCCTAAAGCATCGACCAATAAAATTGCTTAGCACTGTTTAGCTTTAGCTCGAAATGTTAATCATTGAACTCATTCAAGACATTCACCTAATGAACATCAACATCAAGTTTAAACATTCTACCTCATTTAAAAGCAGAGTTGTTATGTTCCAAAATCTTGACTAATCAAATTGCTTATCGATCCTTAGCCTAAGCAGAAAATTCTGATCAACAAACTTAGTCAAGGTAATGATATAATGAACCTATACTCGGGTTTCATCACTCAATTAAAACCAAAGTTATTGGCCCCAAAGCATCAACCAATCAAATTGCTTATCTCTGCTTAACCTAAGCAGACAATGCTCATCTTCGAACTCCATCAAGGCATTGGCCTAATAAACAACTACACCAAGTTTGAACATTCTAACTCAATTAGAAGGAGAGTTATTGTGTTCCAAAGTCTCGACCAATCAAATTGCTTATCGCTGTCCTTACTCTAAGCAGAAAATGCTTATTATGGAACTTAGTCAAGGTAATGATGTGATAACACTACACGCCAAGTGTCCCCACTCTCACTTAATTAGAACTAAAGTTATCGTGTCCCGAAGCATCAACCAATCAAATTGCTTATACCTGCTTACCCTAAGCAGAAAATGCTCATCTTCAAACTCCATCAAGGCATTGGCCTTATAAACAACTACACCAAGTTTGAACATTCTAACTCAATTATTGTGTCCCAAAAAGTGTGACGGACAGACAGACAGACAGACAATGGCCGCCGAACCAGAATCTCGTGATTTCATGTCACTCGAAAATACAGAAAAAACTGTTCGGTAAGATAAGATTAAGATTTCAGTGTTCCACTCTTCACTATTTGTAACATAATTACTAACACGCAAACTGTGATGATATATGTTGACAAATTTGCAAATGAACCTAATTTTACTTGCTCAAAGTCTCGAATAGTGCATGTTCCTGAAGCAACGACCGCGAGTTTTACAATATTTAGCTTGATAAGAAGTACGTAGTTAAGGCGAGTTCAAGCCTTCTATTGAAGATGCGAATAGTGTATCAATTGTCGCTGTGAATAAGAATTATCACGGCTAAAAATATTGCAGCTAATAATACCCTAATAAACAGCCCCTTTGATCAGATGTTTTGCCAAACGACGACGCGTGAATAAAATACAGCGGTAAACTTATGCCAATTCTGTATGCTTGCTTAACACAGAGACCAGCGAGGATGTTGAACCAATTACACCACTTCCAGTTTTAATAAAATTTAATTATAGGGTTATAGTATGACTGGTTGATGAACAAATAACGGTTACTGATAACAACAGTTGCGATTGAAACTATGTAAGATTACAATGTGGTGTAAAATATAAATGGAAATAAATTGTAATCATTTTTTATTTGATTGGTCTTACCTGATCAATCATTTCCCGAAAAGCTTCGATATAACCAAAAACTCCGACTTCATCCGATCCTCCAACGGGAATAACATAGCATTTCTCTCCTGTTGTTGACCTGAAAGCAATGGACGTTTTTCTTACACAGGCTAACCCAAACTAATCCGCAGTAAATATTCTTCTTACCGCTATAAAACAGTTTGAGGCTGTCGTGTCCCCCTGAACCAATTCAGAAAATCCTGCTTTAAGCTAAATCAATGATCTCCACCACCACCGCCCCGGACATTTATAAGTTCACAGCTGCTTATCTGGTCGAGTGCGACGTGTAACATAAATAAAAATAATATCCCATAATTATACTCAGCCTCACATCATTGGTCGAGTTCGGGCGTTTTATACATGTTTTTAAATGTAAAACAACTCACAGTAGAGTTGGCAGAGCACCCCTACCAGTTTGTATCACTCTCTGAAACCATTAAATCTTAGAGATTAATTTTAAGAATAGTTCTGCTTACTCAATATGTTGTTTCAGTTTGTCAATTCTTGGTTCTAGTTTTACAGGAAAGCCGGCTTCTTTCTGAACAAAATATATCTTACATCCCAACAAACCATTCAATAACATGTTTCCTCCAAACTTTATATGGTTTCTTTCCTAATTAATATAACAAATTATCTGTATCTTAAAGGTCGCAATATTTATAACATGCGTCAATAACAAAAGCTTAACGTTTAGGCCCTATGATGAGTAGTGGGGTTTTACGAGTCTAAAGTTATTTCAAATAAAATTTAATGCTTCGACGACCCTAGTTGAAAGTTCACTCCCTATGATGAGGAGTGGGATTTTATCAAATATGATATTGTTAAAATATGATTACATTTCTTCTTTTCTTAGCAAATGTTGAAAGGGGGAAAACATTAAAAATAAACGTAATTGTTATTCTCATATTATTGGGTCTTTAAGTACTGACAAATTTAAACTTAGTATACGCATTTAAGGAATTTTCTCTGACAGTAGACCCCTCTCCCCTAATCTCCTTCGAATTCCAACTGCAAACGATCGTTACGTGTACTTGTACTACCACGTTGTACACAAGACCTCGGATTTTCGTTACGAAGGATTTTAAAATTAAAATTAGCCTATAATCGTGTGTATCTTACCGGCCTACAAGATCGAAGTATAAGATGTGGCCGCATTCCCAATTCTCGTGCAGCTATAGCAACAGATCTACAATGATTTGATTGGACCTCGCCCCCGGTTATAACATGTTTATAACCCTGGGCAACAGCTTCAGCAAATAAAAAGTCCAATTTGCGAACCTGTAAATACAGAATTGATTAAATAATGCGTATACTATAATAGTCAAAATCGGAGTTTCCACCTAGAGGCTGAAGCCTAAAATGCAACACAATAAATATATATAAAAACCAGCGGCTGACAGGCAGGATACGCCCACATTTTCGAGAGATGGATAGAGAACAAGCTAAGAGGAAAGTGATTTTTCCTACAATCAAGGGCCATAATTCAGGAAATTACAATTCGATATGCGCAAATATCGAAAGGAACCGAGATCTTTGGGATATAAACTTACATTTCAAGTTTTAAAAAAATCGGATAAAAGTTGTGACCTCTATAGGGTCCACAACCTTGATATACCATATTTTTTACGCTATTTGAGAACGAGGGGCGGCCATTTTGTTTGTCAGTTTTGGGCCGATTTTCACGAAATTCGAACTCAGCCGTCCTTAGGTTGTAACGGTAATAATAATAATAATGTGAGTTTTTATTGAGCGCCCATTCCATTAGTAAAGTAATACTCATGGCGCATATTTGGCTCTCCACTATCAAACTGAGTATCTTAATACTTTAATCATAGGCTGTTAGAAATAGATGTGTCTTTAACTGTGACTTAAAACATTCTAGACTTTTTGAGTTCCTAATGTTGTATGGTAACGAGTTCCACAATTGAGGCGCACAGTGAGCAAAACATCGGTGTCCAAAAGATTTAAGCCTGAAAGTTGAAACTGCAAGTTTTTGTTCATTTTGGGATCTTAAAGATCTGGATGGCGCATAAGGAGAGATGGTTGATGATAGGTAGATAGGCGCAGCTCCTCGTAGACATTTAAAGGTAATACACATTAACTTGAACTGTATCCTGCTCTCGACTAGTAGCCAATGCAGGTCTTTTAAGTGTGGAGTGATATGACAGTTTCTTCTGCTAAGAGACACAATTCTGGCAGCACTAGTTGTAATTTAGAAATAAGGCTCTTATTTATTCCGAAAAGTAATCTATTGCAATAATCTAGCCTTGAAAGTATTAAAGAGCGGATTAATGCGTGGGCAGCTTCTCTCGATATCAAGTGGCGTATTTGACGTATAGATCGTAAGTGGAAATAGCAAAATCTGCATAGCTGGTTAACCTGGTTTTCCATACTTAATTCCGAATCCAAATACACCCCAAGATCCTTGACACAATCAACAATTTCAATTGAAGTATAAGCAATCGTTAATGATGTTTGATTAATGACTTTGAGCTCATGTCTAGTTCCACACAGCATGACTTTTGTTTTATCGGTGTTAAGCTTTAACGTATTGTCAGTCATCCAAGATTTAATGTCAATACAACAGTTTGTTGTTCTTTGAAAGGATTCCATATGATCACGAGCTTTAAACTTGTCGATTATCTGTGTATCGTCCGCTTAACAATGGTATTGGAGATTGTGATGATTTAAAATATTTGCTACACTCACAGAGTAAAGGGTAAACAGCACTGGTCCCAGGACCGAACCTTGGGGAACACCATTCGTCAGTGTTATGGGATCAGAATTGGTATTTAAGACCTGCACAAATTGTGAACGACCAGTGAGATATGTGACAAACCACGAGAGAGCTGTATTTTCAATACCGAATTCTATGTTCAATTTACGGAGAAGTACAGTTGGATCGATAGTGTTAAATGCTGCTGATAGGTCGAGGAGTACAAGAGAGCAGCAGTTACCCTCATCTATAGCTGATCTGATCACATTGACAACATGTAGAAGAGCAGTCTCAGTGGAATGATTTTCTATATAGGCAGACTGAAAATCGTCCAGTAGTGCGTTGTAGAATAGATGCTCTTTTAATCTTCTGTTAACTGCCATTTCAAGAATTTTAGACACAAATGACAAATTTGAAACGGGTCGATGGTTTTTAAAAATTTCAGAGTCTAATGTTGGGTTTTTAAGTAATGGCTTTACTATCGCTGTTTTAAATACTTCCGGAAAAGATCCTGAAAGTAAACTCTTGTAGGGTAATAACAGGAAGCAGAACATCAAGGAATTTTAATACAATTGAAGTTGGTATAGGATCTGATGAACATGTAGATGCTTTAGAGGATCGAATGATGTTAGAAACCTCATCCTCTGTGAAGGTTTTTAGCTCACAAAGAGTATCGCCAGTGAATTCAGGAGGCACATCTTTTACAACCCCTGTTTGAGTACTACCAAGTTCTTTCTTGATTTTATCAATCTTTTCAATAAAGAACTGGTTGAAAGAATCGGCAAGATCCTTTGGTGTTTCATGAGATGGTAAGCTGGCAGTCGTCTTTTTTCCCAGTAAAGACTGCTGAAAGCATGGATCTCGTTCACTCTGCTCTTCTTTGTTGAGACAGTATTTTCGCTTTGCATTCTTGATCGTGTTTGTTAACAGAGTTAAGTCAGCTCGAAGCATTTGTCTGTGGATCTCGAGGCGGGATTTCCGGTACCGACGCTCAGATCTTCGACTGACCCTTTTTGCCTCCTGGATAGTAGCATCATACCATGGTGTATTAGGTCTAATAGTTACTGAACGTTTTCTGGTGGGTGCATGCTTATCCAACGGGGTAGATAAAGTATCATTATATAGGACAGCTAACGCATTCGCAGTTTGGGGAGGATCGCAAAGTAGCTCTGAGTTAAGCAGGTATTTCCTAAATTGATCGGCATCAATAGATATAATATTTCGACACAAGATATCTCTACGCTCCCTTGTTGGTTTTGTAAGTGATATACTTAAACGTTTTTTTTAAATCGGATAACAATTGTGACCTCTATAGGGTCCACAAGCTAAAAATGCGATTTTCCCCACAATCAAGGGCCATAATACAGGAAATTACAATTCGATATGAGCAAATATCGAAAGGAATCGAGATCTTTGTGTTATAAACTTACATTTCAAGTTTCAACAAAATCGGATAAAAATTGTGACCTCTATAGGGTCCACAAGCTGAAAACGTTATAAATATATAAAAAAAAAACCCAGCGGCTGACAGGCAGGATACGCCCACATTTTCGAGAGATGGATAGAGAACAAGCTAAAAGGAAAGTGATTTTTCCTACAATCAAGGGCCATAATTCAGGAAATTACAATTCGATATGAGCAAGAAATGAAATGAAATGAAATGGGGTTTAACGTCCTACTGTTCTGCTCCTATACTGGGCTAATGAAGACGGGCGATATGAGCATCGACACGAACCGAGATCTTTGTGTTATAAACTTACATTTCAAGTTTCAACAAAATCGGATAAAAATTGTGACCTCTATAGGGTCCACAACCTTGATATACCATATTTTTACGCTATTTGAGAACGAACGGCGGCCATTTTGTCTGTCAGTTTTGGGCCGATTTTCACGAAATTCGAACTCAGCCGTCCTTAGGGTGTAACGGTGATATCATAATACGGTTTTTTAAATCGGATAAAAATTATGATCTCTATAGGGTCCACAAGCTAAAGACGCGATTTATCGTACAATCGGGGGCCATAATTCAGGACGTTACGTTCTGATGTGCGCGAATATCGAAAGGAACCGAGATCTTTGGGTTATAAACTTACATTTCAAGTTTCAACAAAATCGGATAAAAATTGTGACCTCTACAGTGTTCACAAGCTAAAAAGGTGATTTTTCGTACAATCAGGGGCCATAATCCATGAAGTTTCGATCCGATACATGCCAATATCGAAAGCAACCGAGGTCTTTTGGAGATAAACCTATATTTCAAGTTTCGTCAAAATCGGATAAGAATTAGTTTAAACAATATTTTATTCAATAAACTGAAATGGATTGAACAACAGGCAAAGGCCTATATAAGTTCTCTCCAAACATATAAAATAGTTTAATCTTATGTTTACAGTAAACAATGGTGGACATATGTATAGGTAGTGAGTTACAAACATATATACATTTCTTGGAGTGCAATGTTTAGATAAACATTATAATTACATTTAAGGTTATGAAAATAGAAAAGTATTACATAATGTAGACATAGTTTTAATAATTAAAACTTCAAAACCGCTTGCTATCTTTTATAAATTTTTGCACTATTACAAATATGTTAGAATTCTTATCATCTGAAAGATCGGTGTTGCCATATAAAATAAGATCCATTGTCACATTTAGTTTAAGTTGGTGTATATTATTTTGGAGAAATGTTCTTATGGCAGAGTAGGCTGGACATATGAAAAAGTAATGGTAATTATCTTCGTCTGTAGAATTACAGTTAGGGCACACTTTTGTTTCACTCAGAAAATGGTGGAATAAGTGATTATTTAAGTTACTAGCTTTATTTCTTAATTGACAATGAATAATATTCTCTTTTCTATTTCCAGTATAAGAATTGTGACCTGTAGAGTGTCCACAAACAATTTTGGACGGTCGGACGTCCGGAGGTCTGGACAGGGGCGACGACAATATACGTCCACATGAAAATGTGGGCGTATAAAAATCAAGCACAATCAATCTTAACCGAATGTCAAATACAAGGTCCAGCGGACGAATTTGGAAATTCAAGTAACGACTGTAAGTGGACCCTACATGTGAAAAAAAAAAAAAAAATAAAATAAAATACCCCCCCCCCCCCTAAAAAAAAAAACAACAAAAAACAACCCCACCCTATAATGAAAGTGGTGCCAATTGTTTATGAAATAATACTCTGCGACATAACACACAATCAGGCAATACTGAAACATTGAAGATACGCAACCGGTAGTGCACAATAGTTACCGAATCATTGGAAACTCTGCACAATTTAAGATATTATATATGTCACAAATAATGCTCACTAAAAGATACTGAACTACGGAAGATACTGAACCGCTGAAGATTCGTTGAATCATTCAAGATCTTCACCCACTGGTACCGAACAATTGGAGATGCTGAAGTATTGCAGACTCTGAACACTTTAAGATATTATATATGTCACCAATTAATATCGGATTGACTTTAAATTTATACTCTGTGTTTAAGGTCATGAGACGAAGAAGCCTATTGATTTTTAACAATTTCCGATTATTACTGCCAGATT